TATTGCTGCTGTTTTGAGCTGCTGTTGAAGACGTTTCTGGGTCTTCTTTTGCTGATTAAAAAGGATTTGGGCCGGGTCGGGGATTGGGTTTGGTTTAGGAATGGGCTAGGATTAATTGGAGTGTAAATTTCATATATGACATATATTATAGTACTATTCTCAAGCTATAACTGTAGATTTAGACTTTCAAGCTATAGCATTAAAAATTTCAGGTTATAACAAGTTAAAAAAAAAGAAATATCTTTATTAATTGGAAAAAACTTAAAAAATAAATAAAAAGATAAACAAAAATTTAAAAAAAAATGGAATTAGAAATAATAAAGTAAAAAATTGAAATTATGGGCTGTAATTTAATTTGAATTTATTGTAGATAATGAATGATTAGCATGAAATAAGGGATCCAAACTAATTAAGAATATTCAGTTTCCTTAATTCACTCTAATTTGTTAAAATTAATTCAAAAATCTGATTTTAAAAATCAATTTCCATTTATTTAATAAATGATTAATCTATTTATGGTTTTTTATTATTAATTAATAATATGTAATTAATAAGGAAAAAATAAAAATAAAACGGAAATAGGGGTGTCAATTAAATTTGAATTAATTTAAGATAATTATTAATTAGCATGAATTAAGGAATCTCAAACTAATTAAGAATATTCAGTTTCCTTAATTCACTATAATTTGTTAAAATTAATTCAAAAATCTGATGGATGTCAACTATATACAGTTTGGATACCAATTATATGGTGTTCATTTTGATCTCCAATTAAATATCAAAACTAAACTGTGTATGTATCCAATTGCTATGTAGTTTGTATATAACTGATATCCAGAAATTTATATCCAATTGATATGCAGTTTGTATATAACTAGTATCCTGAAATTATGAGAGTCAATCTGTAATTCATATGTAGTTGAAAACTGACTTGAAGAAAACAATGCATATTCTATATCATTCAATACTTAAAACTGTATCAAAAACAAATATATATCGTTCAAAAGTTAAAAAAAACATGAAATACAAAAGAGTTTAAGCTGCAATCAACTATCTCAAATTTGATCTCCGTAGTCTTGGTGTAGGATAATTGCTGGTATTTGGAGCATGTTCTTTTGCTATGCGGGATCCATCAAATTTGCTAGCAACAATCCCAGTTATTTCACTCTCAGTGATCGCGCACCATCATCGTTCTTTGTTTTTCCGCATTGCCATCAACCTAGTTGGAGAAATTGAAAAAGAAACCTTCTTATTATAAAAAAAATTAGGTATTATAAGAAAATACCAATTTCCTACCAACATTAGTCATAATTTATACAAAAAAAAAATGGGTGATTTAACAAACTACAATCAATTCACATAATTGGACCACTGATATCATACCATTTTTTGATAAAAATAATACACAACTTAAGTCAGCTTTCATACCAGCAATAAATCAATTTCATACCAATGTTAAAACACATTTCATACCATATTCATAAATCGTATATTAAGTCAGCTTTCATACCAATATAATTCATGTTTCATGTCAGATTAGTAGACATAATGAGAATAATTTGAAAAAAAAAATAGATTTCCTCTAAACTGTGTACCAATTTATACCAGATTTAAACTAGTTTCACACCAAATATAAGTAATACATCAATACCATTTTTATACCAAATTTTACACCAATTCATGCCAACATTAAACAAAATTCATACCATATTCATAAATCGTTTATTAAATCAGCTTTCATACCAATAATATGCATAATATAACAATTTTAACAAAAAAATCTACTAAATTGATTTAACCATATCTCATGTAATAAAAACCCAATTAACTTTTGGAGGACTAATACAAGAAACAAATCATGTAAATCTTTTCCTTTTGAAAAATGTACAAACAAAATCATGTAAATCATACAAAAACAAGAATTTGTACAAACATCATACATCACATGCATAGATATATGTTATATAATACAAATTGAAAGATCAAGATCATACCTTTTTGGTCTAAGCCAAATCAGTTACACCTGTGATCACAAACGACATATAATTCCTTTCTGTCAACTATTAACTCCTCATGAAAAATGTTCTTTGTTTTCAAAAAATAAAAATAAAAAATTAGATTTGTAAAACTGATAAAATCCATCACCCTCTCCCTTTTAACATCCTTTTCCAACTTCATATCTTTAACAATTTTGGGGCAAAAATAGATAAACCCTAAACCCTTTCACCTTCACCTTCACATAATTAAATTTATGGTAAAATCGTCAGTCCCAAGAAAACCCCAGAAATTCTACAGCCAAATCAGAAAAACAGAACCTTTTCACATGAAAAGCCTCAAAGCACTCAACTCCAAAACAAGTCTTCCTGTAAACACAACAAAAACACCAAAAATCCTTTAAATCCCATTGAAAGTCTATGTCTCACAAGTAGAGATATGCCCTTTTATTTTGATTGTATGGAGAATATATTTCTCCTAATCCGTTTTTAGATGTTGAAAAACCGGCTTCAATGGAGTATGGATGAAAGAGATGAAAGATGAATTTTTTAATTTTTTTTTAAAACGTGAAATTGTTGTGGGGTGAGGGATTTAGGTGGGGTGTGGAGGTGTGACTTGTAACTGTAAAAAAGGAACAGTAATCAATGTAAATCCCTATAATTGTGTAAGAGATAATTATGGGGTATTCTTTATTTAAATAATTTAATAATAATATAAAATAATAAAAAAATTACTTATTTAATAAAGTAAAATTTAATTAATTTATAAATAATTAGTGATATGTTATAACCCGTAATTAAACTGTTATAAGCAAAAAAAATTTAAAAGTAGATTTAAAACCTGTAATATTGACTCTTAAATGTGTATATGGGGTGATTTTTCCTTAATTGGAGAGAAAGGAAAATTGAAAATGGGCTGCTGGAATGTGGCAAATAAATGGCCCAATTTCTTGGTCTAAAAATAAAGTCCAAGGTAGCCTAATGACTATATTTGCAATTACAAGATAACTATCAAATTACAATTGTAACCAATTTAAGTTGAAATTTTAGCCATAGTGAATTAAATTGGCAAATTTGGCTAACAACAAATAAGACGAATTGATATCAACTAATGAGCTTCTTAGCCTTAGCGAAATAAAATAATTAACTTAATTATAAGATAATTATTTTAAATACAAACTAACTAATTCAAAATTAAAACTATAATTCAAACTAAAACTAAATAAATAAAATACATACCCTAGCAATGTGGAAATCTTTTGATATGATTTTCAAATATTTATAAAATATACTAATTACATATATAACTATATGAAATATAGTTACTATTTAAAAATCATAAAAATCCACTAAAATCATTTAAAACAAACTTTGAATTTTATAAAGCTAACTATTCTAAATCGTTTGAAAAAAAAGAAGCTCAAAAACTAATTATCATCGGCGAGGGTCAAAATTAGGTGTCAACATATATATATATATCAAAGTAAATAATTTTATGTATAAAATAAAATTTTAAAATTACATATATAATGTCGGGTTGGTTTGGTCTCGGGTTGGTTTTTTTAAGTTAACCAAATCAACCCAAATATAGTCGGGTTTTCTTTTCCAATACCAAACCAAGTCAAACCAAATCACTAGTCGGGTTTTTTTTTCCGGTTTGACTTGATTTACGATTTGGTTCGGTTTTATACACCCCTACTTACATTCATTGCATAATTTTTAAGAATAAATTGTTTGTTTACAAAAATACCATCCACCTTATTTAGTTCTTTTTTTTTTTGACATATTCTTTGCAAGCTTTAGTTGATCATTCTTAAAAATAAAATTTTCATCTTATTTAGCTTAAATATTTTTTTATGTGCATTTCCATGATTGTGTCGTGTGTTTTTAAAAGTAAACTTTCATCTTATTTAACTTAAAGGGATAAGGTACAAGTACCCCCGTAGACTATGACCAAAATCTTAGAGACATTTTAACTAAACTAAGATCCTATTATCCCTTAACCCATTTTTTTGTAATTTTGTACACCTTTTTGGCTTACATGACATCCAAATATCTCTCACGTGTCTCAACTGCGTGAAGTCACGGAGTGTGCCACGTAAGCCTAAAAGTGTATAAAATTACAAAAAAATGAGTTCAGAGGTAATAGGACTTTAGTTTAGATAAAGTGTCTTTGAAACTTCGGTCATAGTCTAGGGGTACTTGTGTCTTATCCCTAACTTAAAACTAAAACTTCCATCTTATTTAGCTCAAAAATAAAACTTTCACCTTATTTAATTTAAAAACAAAACTTCCTCTTTATTTAGATCAAACATAAAACTTCCTTTTATATTTAGCTTAAATATAAAACAAAACCCTAAATATATGCAATCTTGTTCACAATTTATGTGCTACTCAATTGTATTTACCCCTAGCCCCACGGTTAATTTTGTAATCTTAAACATGCAATGTGGAAAGTTAATATTAAAGATATATCAAAAAGGAAAAAAAATATTCTTACAAGTATGGTACATTAGCCAATTTATACACAGGCAAATCAAATCTCAGGGTACCAGCCTACCAGGCTCATCTGAACCCACTATTTTCGATGTGGAGCATAAATTTATTTGTAAAATTCATAAAATTACCATAATATACATATATATATATATATATATATATATGAACCCATAACTTTAAAAACGTAATGAGGTTAACAATGCCAAATATCTTAAAAATTGAAGCCTCCTGGTTATACATGAAACATGTGACTATAAAAGTAGATATTACAAGCTCATATAATGTCAATTAGCAAGGTATAGTGCTCAATAGAAAGCTGATATCTATATACATCCACGGTAGATATACAATTGCAATAGAAGACAAATCAATGAAAGGTTAATCTTTGTTCAAATGAAAGAGCTACTACATGCTAAGAAACAATATTTGAGGGTTAGAATTAAATTGCACTCGGTAATTATTTCCGTCAGCCCTAGCCTTGGTGGGTAGAGTTACCTGTTGTTGTTGCTAGCAGCATCTACTCTTTCCAAGACCTGAACCTTTGTGCATCTCAAGAACCTAAAATTAATATAGCATCTTCCCCTGCAAAACCACATATTACATTTTAACAACAAAGTAGGTACAAAAGTTGGAAAACAAGTAATATGAAGCACTTGGAAAAGCATTATCATTTTTTCTTAGAGTGGTGGTGTCTGGGCAAGCATGCACACCTCGACTATTCTACGAACCACCGAGAATTCTTAGTTTTTCATCTTTACTATGAAAAGATGAGGTGTAGTGGGGTAGGGGGAGAGGGAGAGAAGTTGTGAAGAAGAGCATACATTACTCTTCTTTAGCATGTCTTCTGGTGTTACAATTGTCGTGATCGGAATCAAAGCCCAAGCACTTGAGAAATGCTTGTTTGGCTAGTCCAAAGTAATTGCAAGGGTGCTCTGTACGTACACAAAACTTAAAAATGGTTGCGTCCTTTTCTGCAGATCCTTCTCTTACTTGAGATTCATCTGCTGCCCTGATTTCACGGCTAGTGCTAGCTTCATTTTCCCCTTTAGTATGTTGGTTTAGGTTCCGATGCTGAAAATACTAAATGTTCAGAAAAAAAGCTCTTCGAATTTAACAAAAGGAAATAATCGCAATTGCATGTTACATCAAGTTAACAACTTCCACAGATTATATGTACTGTGAAACACTAAGTTGCAGATACATTTAAGTAACTAGAGTAAATACAATTAGTTAGTTACAGCATTATTCCAGCTAAAAACTAAGATTTTTCAGCCAAAATACCATCTGCTTTGCCTCTCATTGTAAGCAACAACAACAACATACCAGTATAATCCCATAAGTGAGTTCAGGAGAGGGTGATATGAACACAAACCTTAAGAGAGGTTGTTTCCGAAAGACCCTCGAGTCAAGAAAAGAATAAAAATTGGGCATGAAAAGGATATACAATAGTGGCAAAGCCATGTTGAAAATAATGGAGTAAAGAACACTAGCAACAACAAATAATACGATAACTGAAGCAAAGGAAACATGCAATAATAAAATTGAAGAATACGATAGTAGGAGAGTAATAATAACATAATAATACTGATAAGGAAAAACTAAATAGCGCTTGACTACATACTAACATTTTACCCTAATCCTCAACCTCCAGATCCTCCTACCCACCCAAAACCATATTGGCTCTCATTGTAAGCAAAGCATAGAAATATATAATCTTGGAAAAAACAGCAATAACTACTGAGAAATAAATTGACCATGAATCTTTCTGTTTCTAGTTGAACAACAGTCAATCAGAGGACAATTTATTCACAGAAAACAGAAACCATAATTTTGGTACTTAAATTGCAAGTAGCTCAAATCACAAACAAATGAACACATTTATTAAGTAAATGTATTAACTAGCTCATAGAAAACAAATATGGAGTGAAACTTATCAAGTAAAGAAAAAGGGTGAATAGAATACAACTGCTTAGTAAAATATCTTTAACATTTTTTTGTTTATTTCTTGTACCATTCTCTTTAATATGTCTAATATAGGATAAATCTTTGTTGGTCCTAACAACCTATTGTAAAAAACAAGAAAGTGCCCTTTCCATACACAGTTATTTTTGGCCGTGTTACAGACAATATCTCAAAAGTCAAAACAAAGAAGTTTTATGAAAGAAAAGGTCTCAGAACGAAGAAAAAAAAAATATAGTACAAAGGGTGCTTAGCAAATAAAATATTTCATCAAATATAAAAAAAACAAAAATGGACATGCTAACAAGCACCTCATAGAATATGTCTGTACATTTGGTAGCCAGCTAATGCAAGCAAAATTCAGTCTAGGTGATAAGAACATATGTCTTAATAGTATATCCATCTTGTTACTCTCTTTCTCAATCAATCTATGCGCTCTCATTTTTTAAACAACCTCGGAAGCTGGCATGAATTAAGACCAGTCATTTAGCTGGTTGGATACACCAAAATGAAGAATCACACCAATGTAACATTTCAATAATAAGAATCACAACGAGGTAATATTCAATGATATAATGGGTCGATCTTAATTAAACCAAAGACTTTCCATTATCATTCTTCTAACTACATTAAGCACAAAGAATATTTGGCAAAATGGTAATTTTAAGACTTATGCTAGTTGCCTCTGTTGCAGTTTAATTTAAACTTCGAACACAAATTGTATCACAAAATCAAAATAGTCAGCAAAAGTAAGTTTATTATAGGTAAAAGTGGAAAACAATTGCCCAATCTATCTAAATAAAGAATGAAGGTTCAAACTTAGAAAGTATTTTATGCCATACTCAAGGGAAATGAAATGACTTCCAACAAAACTACAACTATCTACTTCATTTCATCTTTTTTGATGGTGTTCAGGCCCAGCTTCCGCGCACATTGACTAATTCCACGAAATACATGGTACCTCCCACCAACAATAAATACCAAGTAACTTTGTCCATCAAGGCTAGGATAGCTGAAAAAAATCACTTAGGGGTCGTTTGGTGGGAGGTATTAGGAGAAATAGTCTATGTATTATGTATGGTATTATTTAGTACTATGTTTGGTAGAATTTTTGGGCCTAAGTATATCTAATCCATGGATCAGTTATACACCCTACATGGTATTATAGGAAGTATTACTAATACCTTCCATTTGGTGGTATTAGTAATACATTGGATTTAATACCATGAAATTATCTATGTAAAGACAAAAATATCCCTCAAATCATTTTATTTATTTTCTTGATTTTATGTTTTATATTTGTACTAGTAAATTTATTTAAATAAATTAGCTTACAAATTTTATTATTTAGAGAGAGTTGTTTGTCAATAAATAAATGCAATACATATCCATGCAATATTTAAAATGTGAGATGTTTAACATTTACTAATCGAAAAGGCAAATATATCACCACATGACGTTTGTGATCTTAATTGAATATATTATTTGTTGATTTATATGTGATTTCTAATTATTTGTATTTTGAACAATTTATAAATTGCATACATATTAAAACTACAACTTACAATTTTATGTGTAAATGGACATGATTTATTCTATTTTACTATTGTTTACCGTATTTTCGGTTTTAAAGTAGATGGTCTATCTATTCTAAATTGAAAATTAACGATTTTTAAGTGATTAATTTATTAAGATAACAATTGTTTACCCTCAAATAATTCAAGTGAAGAAATAGCAAACATGACAACAAAATTGTTGTTCTCCTAGCTAGTTAGAAGGCCATAAAAAATAATATTGTCCGAAAATTATCTACCTTGACTGATTACATAAAATAGAAAATCTCATAATAATGCAAGGGTATAATATGAGGTTAGAAGCAATGAACCAAACACTTGATAAAAAATATACCCTACATTATTAATCCCAGCACTATTAATCCTTGCGTTACGAATCCCCAACATTATTTATTTTTCTACCAAACGACCCCTTAGTGTTTTCATCTCTGGGATAGCTGAGACCTCATGTTTTCAACACTATTCTATTTAATTTTGCTTTCAGTTAAATTGCTTACATCTACAACCTTTGGTTTTGGTAGAAAATATTAATACTACTATCAACCTTTGCAAAGTGAAAAGTGAAAGTTGAGAATTCAATGCTTTGGCCGGCGGCATAAGCAATCCACTTCTCCTAACTTGACAAAGACTTGTTCTTTTCTTTGACAACAACCAACCCCACCAGCCACCACTCAAAAATAATTCATTTTTTTTCTGAAAGATTAATGGAGCATGAATATTTTTTTTCCATTATCAAATAATTAAGGAAAAAAGAATTTGAAGATGTACACGTCTGGATTGACTCAAGAAAAAACAAGCTGTTACTTCTCACAATTATTCAAAAGTATTTATTATACTATTATAAGAATGTATCATTTCTATTATTATAATAATTATTATCTCATTTGACCTTTTTCCTTGTCAATTGGCCCACACTCAAAATAACAAGCATTTTCCAATGCACAATTAACAATAGTATATTTTTCATCTCTGCAATTGAAATTGGGCATCAAAGAACAGTTAATTAAAAGGGTAAAAATACTATGTACTAAGTAGGCGGTTTCATCTGGCGATTAGAACATAGAATTTCAGACTTCTATGCAAAAATAAATTAAAAAATCCAATGTTTACCCCAAAATCAACTAAGAAACAAATCAAACAAAAGTTCTCATTTCCACTTTAATCACAAACAAAAAGAGAAATCACAAAAATTAGAGAAAAAAAATGAACTTTTTCAAACCTGAAGGATTCTAATAGAATTAGAGGGCAAGTTGACATGCGAAGAAGAACCAACAGAACCTTGAGAAGTAGAGTTGTTTGAAAGATCCAAAACACTAAACCCAAAGAAAAGAAGCAACACAAGAAGAATCATCACCACAAACTGAATCCACATCAACCATGGAATTTTAAAGCTTTCAATTATCAGTTCATCCCCAAATTCATACATTTTTTCTTCAGAAAAGAAAAAAAAACTGTCAATTCTTATTTTCTTCCAAATGGGTTTGTGGGGTTTTCAAGAAAAGGGCTGAGTGTGAGAAGAATTTATATTTTTCAAGAATATTCAAAAGAGTGTTACAACTCTAGGAAGACGCAACTCTTTGGAACTATTTGGTTTGTTTTACAGAAATTCAATAAAAGGGTATTTTGGTCATTAATCTGTTCACAAATGGGGGAAAAGTTGTACCGCTGCTTCGTAGGTTCTCCTATCAAAACAAGAAAAAGCGGATAAAGTCAGTGTTGGGCGGAGGGTACCTTTATTTAGCCCATCATAATTTTGATTGTGAAATCTGATTTTATGGACAAGGATATTTCTCGATTTTAATGTCACTTATTCTTAAAAAAAAATATTTTTTCATTTTTACTTATTACTTTTGATTTATTAAAAAAATATAATAATTTATTTTTCATATTTTATTCTCAACATTAAATACTTATTTTTCAAGACCTTATTTAATAGGAGACATTTTGGTAAAATACCTATATCATTATTTATTTTCTTAACAGGTGTGTCAAAAATCGTGACAAATAAAAATAAATAGAGGAAGTATTAATTATAAGGGCATTTTTAGATAAATTATTAATGATAAAAGTATATTTAGATCAATTATTAATTGGTAATTTTTTGTTTAATTTCACGTAATTTAAAGATATATCATTTTCGTGAAATATATATAATCTACACCGATAAACAAGGTGATGAAGTACTAAGAATAGCAAAAGGAGAAATTGACATATATATATATATATATATATATATATATAAAACTCTTAAATTTAATTGATATTTTAGTTAAGGAAATATTATTAGTAAATAGAAGTTCTTAAAAAATTGGCATTTAGTAGTTATATCATATATGTGTTTTTCTGCATAAAAATAGGGAATGAAATTCCTATTCACACTTATCTCTCTTTTTTAAATTATTTTTCTTTAAAATATAAAAAATTTAGTATCATCTCTCTTTTCTAACTTTCAATTATTTCTTCTTAGAACAAGAATTTTTTTTATTTAGAATCATCTCGCTCCGTAAAATTAGCAAAAATATTTAATTATGACTATTATTCTTTTAAATCATATTATTACGATTTACGAATCTACCATCTATAAATTATTTTTTTCAATTGTTTGTTAGAAGTTATGATAAGAAACTCAATCCATATTTATATTAAATGTAGACTATAATATACATCTGTTTGGTTTATACATAATCAGAGCTTATGCCCCCAAATTTTTATCAAGAATAAATTGAGTATTATATTTTTTATACGAAAAAAATGATTATTATGATAAAAAGTATAAAAAAATTTAATATTTTATTTTATCCACTTTAACGCATTTTGTACTTTAAAAAAAGGGCAAATTACAGAAATCACATACTTTTAAGGCAAAATTACAATCTATCCCTTAAAAGTTTATAATTACAGAAATCCCTCAAACGGATACAATAATATAAGCGTTGATACATTAATCTGATGCGCGAGATACATTAATCGTTAAGTAAGATACATTACATTTTATACATGATACACTAATCTGATGTACATTTTATACATGATACACTAATCTGATGCGCGAGATACAATAATATAAGCGTTGATACATTAATCTGATGCGCGAGATACACTAATCTGATGCGCGATAATGAGGGATTTTGGAGATTTGTAAAACTTATAGGAGATAATGGTAATAAGTAAACTAAAAAGTGGATTTCTATAATTTTTCCTTGAAAATATGAATCAATAGTAAAAAGTGTTGAACAAAGTAAATTCAATTTTTTTACTTCTTTTAAATTTTAATTTCAAGCATTATAACAAACATATTAAAGTGGGGTATACCAAGTCATCAATTTTTTAAATCGGATTCTATGGTTCTAATTCTTATCTTTTTTAAAAATTTGTCAACTTATTACTTATAGAATTGTGTTAACAAATCATATATTGTCTCACTGAAAGGATGTTTCTCAATGTTGAGTTGATAAAATCTTACCTAAAACTAATAACTGAAAAAACAATGTTAAATACTAATAGTTTTCATCTAAGTAGTGTAATAAAAATAATTTTTGAATAAATACGTATACGAAGTTTGTTTATATTTTAGGACTCGAATTGAAATATCGCTTTAGGCCCTCAATCACATTGTGTGCGTGCGTGCGCATGCACGTGTACGTGTGTGCGTGCGCACGCACGTGTACGTGTGCGTGTGTGTGACATAAGTATATTTGGCAGCTATTAATGTGTATAGATATATTACCTCCTGCTAAAATATATTGATACATATAATCAGATTAGTATGCATACTGTCATCTACATCTACATAACACTTACAATGTATGCATTCAATTTAAAGATGTATACATTAAATTTTATAGAATTTTGTCTCAATGTATACGAATTCATGTTTAACATTAAATAAGATTCAAATATTTCTTTGACTTGAATACTAAAGTAAGTTTACATGTGTTGAAATCGATGTTGTAGGTGAAAATATTTCAAATCAAAATTATTATTCATACTCATAAATGTCGATTTTTAAACTCAACATCGTTTTTCAGTTCATCATTTCCTCAAAAGATTTGATATTGTCGTTGCAATCTCCACCACTCTATACATATTTTCTCTTTTTAGAATGAAATTTTTGTCACTTTATACATGTTTTTCTCTTTGAAATACAATGTACTAGAAAGTATAAATTTGTAAGAGTCCTTGTATTCAATGACAAGATAAGAAACGTAGTAACCTTAAAAAAAAAAATCACAAATAATCAATATAAATTTATTTTGAGGGTGATTTGATGAGGAGTTACTTAATGTGAAGAGTTATTGTTGTAATTGATCTCTAATAAAGATATTTAAGGAAAGAAGATAAAAATATTAAAACTTGAAAGAGGGCGAAAAAAGGGAAGAATGTTGGGGAGTTGAAAAAATACGTTGAAAAAATCAGTTGAAAAGTTTCACTTTTTAAGGAACAAAATGTGGTCATCAAGTGACAAAATAAATTTTTAAAAAAATTACCCAAAAAAAAACAATAAAAGAGGGCTATTTGTTGCCTATTTAGTCTATATAGATTGTCATGTTGTGCCAATTTTCTAGTAAGTATCCCTTTGAAAATTTTACACAAATTCCATAGGGTTAATAGCTAAGTACATCATATCACTACTCCTTTTGAAATTACAAAAATCTCTTAAATTTGGTGGAATTCGAATACTTTCCAAAATATCTCGATACATCGCGTTCCAGTTTTAGATACATTGTGTTTGGTTATGGATACATCACTCAACGTCCTGATACATCACTCAATGTCCCAATACATCGCATACATCTCGATACATAGCATAAAGTGATGTATCCGACCAATACATCGCGTAAAGTGATGTATCCGAGAATTGGGGAGGGTAGAATTTTTTCAAATGGTAGAAAATTTTAGAGAATATAGTAAAATGTCCCAATACATCACTCAATGTCCCGATACATCACTCAATGTCCCAATACATCACATACATCTCGATACATAGCATAAAGTGATGTATCCGACCGATACATCGCGTAATGTGATGTATCCGAGAATTGGGGAGAGTAGAATTTTTTCAAATGGTAGAAAATTTTAGAGAATATAGTAAAATGTCCCAATACATCACTTAATGTCCCGATACATCGCATGCATCTCGATACATAGCATAAAGTGATGTATCCGATCGATACATCGTGTAAAGTGATGTATCCGAGAATTGGGGAGAGTAGAATTTTTTCAAATGGTAGAAAATTTTAAAGAATATAGTAAAATAAGTCGTGTATTTAGGTAATTTTTCCTATCCCTATATTAAGGGTGTCTAGTGGGCCAGAGTTTACCATACTAGTTGATTATGATTTGTGAGGTGGGTTGGTCAAGTTCAAAATGACCCTAAAATGGATTGATCTTTGATATTTTATATTCAAAAGAAGAATCTTATAAAAATGATTTAGTTTCAATAGAATGGTCTTGATTTTTGGTCCTGCTTATTCTCTTAAGGCAGGCAGACGTTCAAAACATTTCAACATGGTGAACCAACACAATTGACTAAAAGTTCTGTTTATAGCCAAAAGTTAAAATTTAGATATGTTATTCATAATAGATAAGTTCTAACTTCATAAAACGTAAGTTATATAGTACTCCATAACTTAGACTTAATGAAGCGATATGTAAGCTATATATTGCCCATGAGGCAGAAGTTATTTTCTTAAAACCTGTGAGCTATATTTTGTCTCTAAGATAAAAGTTATAAAGTAACCATAAATTAATTAGTGAAATAGTTTCAATTATTATCCATCAAGCGTAAGTTAGTTTTTGTAAAGCCCGTAAACTATATTTTCCCTCTTAAGGCTATAGAGTGTAAGTTGTCGGCCCATAAGATATAAATTTGTTATTTTACTCTCCGAACAATTTGTGGCTACTGAATGATTGTATTCTATTGAAGTTTTATAGATTGAAATTTAATTATCATATGAATCATTCTTATGTTCTTGTTTTTTGTATTTCATGCTTGATCACCACTGAAATAAACATCTTGTCTAAATTGAACTCGGGAGAGGGATAAGAGGATAGAACGTGGGGCATGAGGAGCGTGATTTTCTCTTAAGAATTATAGTTAATTTATTTCTAGGATAGAGATATACCTAGAGACCGTGCTTGGTTATTAGACAAGAAAAAATTATAATGCTCGGTAATTGGTCCAGCCTATCACCGCTCAACGATGTAGTTAGGCTGCCATTGATCGTAGGCGATTAGAGGTCGGGAGACCAAAGTCATATATTTAACCATGTGATCATTGATTCGATAGTTAATTGATATCCATTTAACTAGATAGTATGCATGAATCCTAAAGTGAGTTGCAGCCATGGACTTTACCCAATCATTGTTCAAACCCTTTTGAAATTGAATCGCTTTAGTTAAGTTCTTATTAAATTTTTTATTATAAAACCAATCACTTCTTTAATCTTATAACACTTGTTCCTAATTGAGAGTATTGGAAAA